AAAAGTTTCTCTCCCATCCCTGTATAATAATTACTGTTTGTCTAATGCTTACTGGAAGCCACATGGTGTGTTACTAGCTTTATGTACTTAATCTCCCTTAATCCTTGTACATGATCACCCAAAAAGAATGGGTGGAGTTGAGAATTTAGCCACTGAAATTTGCTCTACTGTTGACTCAACGGTATCATGGGTCATCCTAACAATGAATCCAATCACAGTTTAATTGAGTATATTGCTGATGATCAACACACACTTGGTGACTGACAAACTGATGACTGCTGTTGACAGAGAAAGTCCAATGCATCTTTCACATCATCTCTGTTCCATATTAAATACTTCATCTGTGTCCATTTTAACACAAGAAAGCTAATCTTGGGGCGCCTGGGTGGCTCAGTCAGTTAAGCATCTGCCTTCAGCTCAGGTCATGGTCCCAACGTCCTGGGATCGAGACCCACCTGGGGCTCCCTGCTCAGTGGAGAGCCTGCTTCTCCCTCTCCCTCTGCTTGCTGCTCTGCCTACTTGTGCTCTCTATCTCTCCAGTCAAGTAAATAAATAAAATCTTAAAAAAAAAAAAAAAAAAAGAAAGCTAATAAATCTTGCTGACTAGCCTTGGCAGGCCCTGAAAATCAAATTGGAGAGTAGGCCTGGGAGATAGGTAGTTTCAGGGTTTGGGGCTATGTGAAAATGATCCCAAGTGATGCCTATCCCCATTTCTAGGAACCTCGTTCCCTTTTGAAATTTCTCTAATGCTCATTTCAAGATATGTAACCTCTTAACTCGGAATCTATTGGTTCTTCTCTATTAACCATTCTGTTGTGACTATTCAGTTCATAGTTCTAACAATCAGCTAGTCACAACTTCTTGATTGAGAATCTGTGGGTTCAGTCAAAAGAGTAAAACCGGCTGTACAATTGACTTAGTAAATATTAGTTTTGAGTATATATACATGTGATTATTCGTGCACATCATGGGCTTTTCATTAATCTCTAACTCTGATTGGAGCATACGTCTTTCATTGTCTACTTAAAAGTGAGAAATCATTAGATTCTTGAAGTGGATTGGATTCACCGTGTACATTGTTTTTTTTCCTCAGATCTACAGAAACACAGCAGGAGAGATGGCACGTTTATAGGATCAAGTGAGTGCAGATCCTGGCTAAATATTATCAATGTAGAGTATTTCTTACTGAGCATACAAGATGGCATGTGAAGTGTATTTATGTCATGGTGATAATTATTATTTTTTTCTGAATCCTACTGGGCAACCAATTTTTTCTAGAATAAATAAAATCATCCTCCCCCTCTTTTTTTTTTTTTTTTTGATCAGCATATTGTATAATGTGATTTCAAGTTAACAAAGAAAATATACTGACTCAGTTTAATCACATGGGAATATGGTCTTCTGGAGTTACTGAAGATGCTTTCAGAAGTTAAAAATAATCTGAAAATAAAGATGGGAGTCATGATATATTTTAGAGCTAAGGGGATCTCTTCATGAAGACTGGTCAGTTCAATTTCTGTCAAGTCTAACCACATGTTATCATGATATTAAATCAAGAGCAATAAGCACAGTTCAGTGACACAGATAATGGAGAGAAAATGACAGGGTTCAGATGCACTTTTGCTTGTGTGTTATCTGTATAATTTCTAAATTTTTCCAGATGTCATGATAGTGAAAGAGCCTGTGGCTTTGGTTTTAACTATCCTTTTGAGTCTATCTAAGGCAGTTTGAAGACAAATGGAATCTTTGCATTCCTGGTGGGTATTTTGCGGCACAGCCTTCACATTTCAGTACAGATTGAAAGATGTGAATAAGTACTAGCTCAACAAGCTGCAGAAATAAAATCTTGAACACATGCCACAGACCTCCACAAAGTCCTCCCTCTCCTCCTTGTCCTTAGAAATAGTTGTTGGAATTGAAATGATTTTTTTTTTTTTTTTTTAACATCTTAAGGTGTTGAAGAGTTTCATGGAAACTGAGGATAGCTGTTTCTTTCAATTTTAGTAAAATTAATTTTATAAGGCTCTGGAGTTTGACAAATTGGAGGCTTACTTAGAAGCAAGTAACCCATTATACTTGAACTACTATCATATAGCTGTGCATATAGTAGTCAGACTGTTTTGAGATAGCTACTACCCAGAAGAGAACATTCATTTGATCTACATTTCTGTTTCCTTATCTGGAAAACAGGGATAATAATATCACATAGTTTACAGGGTTATCGAGAGGATTTAAAAAGCTAAATTTGATTAAGTGCTCAGCAGAATGTAATTGGGTTGGTCTCATTTCTGTGGTCTCCACTGTCTATTTAGTAAAGCTCTTTCTATCACTTTCAGGCACTTAGGTGGCTATTTTATTGAACTCCTACTGAAGAGTGCATTAAAAGAGATCTCAGAGCAGTTTAGATACATTATCTTATTTAGTCCCAGATTCTGTTACTGAGATCACAGGCAATATATACATTCTGGGTCATGAATTTATTTGGTTGGGGTAAAGTATCAAAGAAAACAAGGTTAAAAGTTTAATTTTTCTTGGGACTCATCACCCAGGAGGGCACAATTAAAACTTGCCAATCAATCATCTGTGAGGTGCCAGTGATTTTATTTTTGTATATTATCTCAGGTGAGACTCGTCATTTTTTTTGCGAGCTCAGAAGGTGAAGAAACCTCTATTAGGTCAAACAGATAATAAGCAGTGAAGCCTGAATTCAAACCTGGATCTGACTCATTTTCGAAGCCGGCATTCTGGGTGGTATCCTCCCCAGAGTAAACTATGATGGACGGAAATTAAGACTCTGGTACGTTGTCTTACAAATGCAAGTTATTTAGCACAAAGGCAACTATGTGGAAGGATCTGGCTGCGTGTCTAGATATTTGAATCTAAAATAGAGCCTATTACAAATCCTAGACAAAAAAGACTTTTTTTAAAAATAACTGGTCTGTGCTTTTATTTATTTATTTATTTATTTATTTATTTATTTATTTATTTATTTAGAGAGCACGAGCAGGGGAAGGGGCAGAGGCAAAGGGAGAGAGAGAGAACCTCAGGCTGACTATTCAGAGTGCAGGGCTTGATCCCAGGACCCTGAGATCATGACCTGAGCTGAAATTAAGAGTCAGACACCCAACTGACTGAGCCACCCAGGTGCCCTCTGGACAAGAGAGTTCTATCAGTTCGCTGTCCGATTCTCTTCCCTTCCCTGTCAGAGAAGAATCCTTTGTTGTGTTTGCTGGTATTAGCCTGTATTACAACTCTCAGAAGAAATCTGAAATAACTCTAAATTGAATCGTTTAAACAATCCATTGACATTTTGAAATTATTAGTTCAGTTTTGAAATAGATTTCATTCAAAGTAGGGGCAGTTCTTCCTATATTACAAATGTTCTCAATTCTTTAGTGAAATGGTATTCCTTTAAATTAGATCCAAAAAGGGCGCCTGAGTGGCTCAGTCGGTTAAGCGACTGCCTTCGGCTCAGGTCATGATCCTGGAGTCCCTGGATCGAGTCCCGCATCGGGCTCCCTGCTCAGCGGGGAGTTTGCTTCTCCCTCTGACCCTCCCCCCTCTCATGTGCTCTCTCTCTCTCTCATTCTGTCTCAAATAAATAAAATCTTTAAAAAAAAAAATAAATAAATAAATAAATAAATAAATAAATAAATAAATTAGATCCAAAAGAAGAATGACCTTTATTGCAAATGATTAAAAAAATCTAAAGAACTATATATATATATATATATGATATAAATTTAATTTTTTTCCCTTTTGTTTCTCATTTGCAAGTTAAAGGTCACGTGTACTATTTAATGAGCTCCCAAATTTTATAGATTGAATTGCCCTCTGTCTTTAAAGTCTGTGTCTCTCAGGGGTCACAAACCATAAGCAAGGGTTTCCACCCATCCTCATGCAGTTTAAAGAGGATTTGGCCCAAATTCAGAGCTTTGTTTCAGGAGTGGGCACCCAGCCTTTTCCTTCACTGCAGTTTTATTTTGAAATGCTTTCTAATTGCATCTGACAAATACATACAACCTCTCTTAGCTTAGTGGATTCCAAGTGAAGTCTGTGAAATACTTGGAGTTGATACTGCTCTTTTTTTTTTTCATGGGGTCTACCATCTGACTTTCTTATTCTGCCTTATTTCTTATGTAAAAATCTCTCTAAATTTTATGAGAGCCCTGCATCGGTGATGGGATATGTAGTGGGGGGGGGGGTAGTATGTGAGCAACTGCTCAAAAGCCAAGTGATACAGCAGGAGGGTGCCTGTTACAAGGCTAAGTTCGAAATTTTGAAAGAAATAAAAGATGAAAATTATATTCAAATGAAGTTTCCCAGTTTTGTCTTTGATATTAAACTGATCAGGTAAATTGCTTTCAGAAGTTAAAATAGAGATCTAAAGGTTATAATAATATCAATGCAAAAATAGCCCAGAGAAAGGAAGAGATGGAGAGTTCATTTAGATATGTGAATGATTTGTGGAGGTGTAATGGCCCTATTAATATTAATTATGCCATTATCATTCACTGCTCTCCAAATGGAAAATTGCCAGTCTCGATTTCACTGGCAGAAATACTGAAATGTAAATACAAGTTGACAACCTTGCTTCTGTGCATATGGGTCACCCATGACTCCTAATTTAAAACACTGTAACCAATCTAATGTTGAAATAGTCAAAGTTTGGCAGAAAAACTCAGGAAGTGAAGAACTTGTTACTTCCAAGTGTTGCTTGTCATGGTACCTTGAACTTGGTCTTCTACTAGTTATTGAAGTTCTGATGCTACCTGGTCCCAGGTTCTGGTTTATCTCTTCCAGGGTCCTCATAACCCCCTGTGAAGGTGTCTGGTCAGAAAGAGAGTTCTGTCAAACCTGGTGGAGGGGTTCTTGAAGGCAAGGAGATAGCCACAGGGACAGTCTGTTTCTGACCACCTGGGATGGAGGGGATATTTGTTTCAAAACCCATTACTTAAACCAAAATTTTGTCTTTATTTGGGGATGGGTTAGGGTGAAGATAAATAATTTTAAGCCTGAAAAACCATCTCATCAGAGAGAGGATAGTCTTTTAACTCTGCACACTGGTGCTTTTGTCTTGAAGCAATTGACATCTAATGAGGAAGAAAACAACATTTTGAAGGTTGTATTTATTTTTTTAATGCTGTGACTGTCCTCGTGTTTGGAAGATAATGTTTTTATGTGTGGTTTAAAATATTTGATATCAAGTTGAGTTCTGAGCAGATACCTTTCATTAAATTCCCAAGACTTTGGTTTTCACCCCATTAAGTTCCATTATCAAAATTACCAGGCGATCTCTTAAAGGCTTAAAAGTTACATGTCTAATACTTGCACAGGTCTCTTCCTTCTTGTTCAGTGTAAAATGCTATTTTAAATGAATCAGAGTGTGTGTGTAGCTGCCAATTTGAATCCCCACATCTGAGAATCGTCCCAAGATCACACGCTTCCTGTCTGGAGGAGGGATCATTCTTGGTATGAGCATCAGCAGCAGTGATTTGATGCAGTAATAAAAAGAGACATCCCTAGTGAATCCATGTGATTAAATATGGAAAGGGGGGCTCTGGATGTCTTGGGTCCTCGACACGTGAAGGTAATTAAACCTCCTAATTCAAAAGTCTCCTCTTCTCTTTATAACTATGTTGGTCCTAAAGAAAAAAAAAAAAAAAAAAAAAAAGATTTGAAATATGGGCAGAGGGGTGTGGTGCCATATGGCAGAACAAACAAAATTACCCAAACACTTCAAAAACAAGCAGGGTGCACTTCTCCCTCTGTTCAGTAACCATATGTTAGCTCAACACGCGAGAAGCTCCCTTCAAGTTGATGCAAACAGACTCTTTGTCTTTTGGCCTCCAGTGTGCTTCCTTAAAACAAAAACCAGGGGACCTTGGAGAGACGTTACAGTGAGGTCCCTGCTGGGTCTGAATCCAAGATGGCAAAGCTTGTAGAACTGTTTTTGAAGTCAGAGAACTTCAAGAAGCAGGAAGAAGATGTAGTTGATAAAAGGATCCTTGCCATCAAGAGCAAGACTCTTCTGGGAGTTGTTTATAGAAGATGGGAGGGATATACTCCTGCCCTGATGGGATGGATCATCAGCGAAGGACAGTTTGGTCATTACAAACAATGGGCACAGAGACATCTTTACAAAATCATGAGAGTAGATTGGTTGAATGAAGAAGCAATGCACTGTATGGGAAATATCAGTAAAGTGTGGTTATAGGTTATGGGTGAATCCTCTTGCCTCCAAACTTTCCTTTTCTTGTATGGCTGCAAACTGTGCATGTTTTCTTGCTGACTACTGGCACAACCCCTCCTTTCATCTTTTCCTTTGAAGTTCCCACTTGGCTTATTTCAAACCTGCATATTGCTTTGGGACTAGGAAACCTTGTGCCGTGGGTGGCATCGATGATATTGCACAATATATAAACGAAATACGTAAAATTTAATTGAGAATATAATATAAACCATAGGAAAGAAAAATCCCCAGCAGAATGGACCAGAAGAAATCAGAATCAGAAAAATCCAGAGGTCTAGAAATGGCTCTGACCAATCTGGGCCGGGGGAGACAGCATGTAGACATATCAGAGGATCTCATGTTAGTTCCAGATTCCAATTCAAGTACTTGGTACAAGATCACTGATACTCAGTTCAAGTAGCTGTGTTAAATCGAGTAGTTGGTGAAAGCTTTAAAAGACCAAATTAGTGAATGACTTGGTAATTCAGTAGACATTTTTGAACACCTAATACACATTAGCAAACCAGTCTGGTAAACATTTTTAGTGGCCTAGCTACAAGGCAATTTGAACACAAAGTATTAGTTATTTTTGTTGTCTGCACAGCTAGCCAGGTATTTAATCCTTTTTTGGAATTTTCATTATACACATTTTAACGTTCAGAAGTTCTTTGTTACGCTAGTTATCAAAATAATAATGAGGTTGCTGTAACACATTGTTACGGAAAGGTCAGACGCTTGGCAATCTCAACTCTGTTTAGGTTAACAATAGTTTGGATTTTAAAATACATCCACACACTTACACAATGTAACACATGCCCACTCACATGTTCAAATACTGTTTTATTAACTGCTTCCAGAGGACTTGATTTAAGAATCAAGAGCGAAAGGAGCTTTGAAAGATCTGCGGGTCTGTAATATGAATCGCTAACTGCCCGTTTCCGTTTCCACATTTCTCTGGTCATCCCTGAAACGCTTGTGAACGTTCTGGCGTCTGCAACATAACCTAACCGTCAACTTGGCGGGAACACCTTGTTAAGTCACTGTGACGTCAGGGAGGCGCGTGTGACTCTTGCACATGGCAGGGTGGCTGGAGCCCAGAAGCAGGCCTTCCCTCTCTCACCTGTTTGTTTTTAAAGTCCTTTGTGGGAGTCAAAAGTTGCAACTGCCAAAGCAGCTCAGGAGCTAACTAATCCATAGTTGATTTCAATTGATCTTAAAGTGCACGAAACACACTTTTCTCAGCGGCTGGCCCCCATTTATATGTCAACGCAGATCAGTGTTGAGCACACAGATGACCCAGAGCACTGAAGGAAGAGTTGTGTTGGTCGGCTCAAAAGTTATTGGAACAGATTTGCCCTTTGGTAGAAATGCGCTGGAATGGAATAATGTCTCTTTTGCCGGAAGACAAGCACTCAAGTGAAGTCAGCCGTGCTTGAAAAGGGCATTAAAGCGTCTTCTATTTAAACAAATGGAGTAACAGATTCTAATAGCAAAGCAAACTTACTTTCGAGGACTCCAGGATGCTTTATTGGTGGATGTTCTGTAGTTCGCTTCACTTAAGATTATTTTCTAATAGGACTTTCAGTAAGACTTGAAAATGTTCCATACTTACTGATTTTTTTTTCCTTTGTATTTATGTAATTTTATTTTTAAAAAGATTTTATTTTTAAAAAATTTTATTTTTAAGGAATCTCTACACCCATTGTGGGGCTCAAACCCACAACCCGAGATCAAGCGTTGCATGATCTACTGACAGAACCATCCAGGTACCCCTAGTTGATTTTTTAAATTATGCATTTTTCATATTAATTTTGTTTTGGAAAAAGCAATATAAAACATTACTACTCATTATATTGTCCAGCTATGAAAGGTCTGTGGCAATGAAGTAATATTCCAAATACTATTTCTAAGTCAGACACTTAAGGGACAACACGTTGGGGAATAATGATGAGTTCTAGATGGTAAGGTACAGGGATTGCCTAAACTCAGAAAGTAGTACTGTCCAGGTGACCTGCAGTTTTTTTTTTTTTTTAAGATTTTATTTATTTATTTGACAGAGAGAGAGATAGCGAGAGCAGGAACAGAAGCAGGGGGAGTGGGAGAGGGAGAAGCAGGCTTCCCGCCGAGCAGGGAGCCCGATGTGGGACTCGATCCCAGGACCCTGGGACCATGACCTGAGCCGAAGGCAGATGCTTAATGACTGAGCCACCCAAGCGCCCAGGTGACCTGCAGTTTAACTACAACTTTAGTGCATGACAACTTCATCTATGTCACTTGATCTTAAAGTTGCTTATTTGAAAATAAATTGTATTACTAAGGTAGTCAAAAGAAGTATCTGCATTTCTCGGGCAGTAGCCTCGTGTTGATGGTAGACCACAAATGAAATATTGGAGGCCTCTCCTTTCTCAGGTTAGGCTTAATTTTGCTAACCTTATTGTAGGCTATTAGCATCTTGGTTAGAATGTAAGGAAAATATATTTTACTGTGTTTTAGTTACTCGACGAATGCATAAAAGTTAAAAATATTAGTAAAAAACCGGATAAAAAGACAGGTGTTAGAAATAAAAGAGGACTTAAAACATCATTGAGGCCCTTTTATTTATTATCTGCTGTGTTCCTTTGTGACTTATTGCTGTAATGCTGGGTTTTAAACCTACAGTCTTTGGAACTGCTTCCTCGAAAGCAGTTTATTATGTACTTAATTGGCCTCAGACTCAGAGTTGTACCTGTGTATTTATACAGGTGGTGGACCACAAACCAGGAGTCGCCACACCTCAAGAATCTAAGAATCTTGGACTTACTGGGAATTTACTTTGAATTCTTAAAATAAATGAGTTTCTTTCTCCCCACCCACCCACCCCTAAATAGTCTATCTTTCTCCATGGAAGAGGAAAGAAAGCATTACAGGGCAAGGACGCTAGTTTTCCCTGTGAACATAGTTACAACATGTGGGCTAGTGACCTCTCTACAAGGATTGCTGGGTGAGGAATTTGAATGGGACAACAGATGATGCTGGTTTTTTTTTTTTTTTTTAAGATTTTATTTATTTATTTATTTGAGAGAGAGAGGGAGTAAGAGAGAGGTAGAGGGAGAGGGAGAAGCAGACTCCCCGCTGAGCAGGGGCTCAATCCCAGGACCCTGGGATCATGAGCTGAGCCAAAGGCTTAACTGATTGAGCTGCCCAGGTGCCCCAGATGATGCTGTTTAATAAGTAGTTAATGGGGCACCTGGGTGGCTCAGTTGGTTAAGCGACTGCCTTCGGCTCAGGTCATGATCCTGGAGTCCCTGGATCGAGTCCTGCATCGGGCTCCCTGCTCGGCAGGGAGTCTGCTTCTCCCTCTGACCCTCCCCCCTCTCATGTGCTCTCTCTCATTCTCTCTCAAATAAATAAATAAAATCTTTAAAAAAAAATAAGTAGTTAATGAAGCAGTGATTATCTTGGATGGAAACATGGAGTGATCCTGGGCACCCCCCACCCCCACTGCTGCAGGCTCCCAAATCCATTTGGGATCTGTCTCCCTCTCTTCATCCTTGCTGTACCCTTTGTCTAAGCCATAGTCCCAGGACTAATTCAGTTGCCTTATAACCAGTCTCTCCATTTTGCTCTTAATTCTTTCCAATTCATTTGCTATGAAGCAGCCAGGACAGTTTTGTGGTTTTTTTTCTTAAAATAAAATAAAATAAAATAAACCTTAAAATGCTCCCAATGATTTCCTGTTGTATTTGAGATAAACATAAAGTAGAATATCCTTCATATAGCTTTTTAGGTTCTGTGCAGTCTGGTCCTTACCTACTTTTTTGTCTTTATCTTGAGGTATTCTCCCCTTTGATTAATGGCCTTCTTTCAAATGTACTACTCTTAATTTAGTTCCCCCAAAGGGACAAGGCCCATTTCCATGGAAGAACCTTTACAGTTGCTGCCCCCTCTGGTAGAAACACCCTTTCCCCGGCGCGCCTGGGTGGCTCAGTTGTTAAGCGCCTGCCTTCGGCTCAGGTCATGATCCCGGGGTCCCGGGATTGAGCCCCGCATCGGGCTCCCTGCTCGGCGGGGAGTCTGCTTCTCCCTCTCCCACTCCCCCTGCTTGTGTTCCCTCTCTCGCTGTGTCTCTCTGCCAAATAAATAAAATCTTTAAAAAACAAAACAAAACACCCTTTCCCCTACTTTTTTCCTACTTACCCTTCACTCTCAGACTAAGTGCTACTTCCCCATTAAGGGGATCTTGGAAGGACCAATTTAAACTAGATATACCCTGTTGGTCTTGTTTGTAGTGTTCTGTAAAAGGTTAATTCCGAGGGCTAAAACCTTACACATTTCAAAGAAAGACCCATCTTTAGGACTACTCCTAGAAGATAGATACTGAGCCTTTTAGAATTATAGATTTTTGTACCCCTGAGGCCTTAGGCTTACCCAGTGCCATTCTGATTAAGTCTTAGCCTAACAATATGATTTATGGTGAAGATGCTTTTGCTCTGGGGGTGGGGGGGGACCTAGAATCTGAGTAGTTGAGGTTAGTTATGCAGGAGCTACATACCTAGTGACTAGCACCCAGTTCAAATCCTGGACATCAGTGCTCAGGCGAGGTTCCCTGGTTGGTGACACTTTAAATGTGTTGTCCCACATCACTGATGGGAGAATTGAGTGCATCCCATATAACTCCACTGGGAGGGGACTCCAGGAAGCTTGTACCTGGTGTCCCCTAGATTTTGCCCCTTCTGCCTTTTCCCTTTGCTGATTTTAATCTCTGTTCTTTCTTTGTAATACACTATCACTGTGAGTATAACCGCTTTTCTGAGTCCTGTGAGTCCTAGTGAATTGGCAGGACCGAGAATGATAGTAGGGACCCATAATATCCTATTTGTTTCCTTTGAAACAATTATTTCCATTTGTCATTCTATAGATTTATTTTATTTACTTTTTTTTAAAGTACTACATTCTAGTGTAGAAATTAGGCAGTGCATAATTATCTTTCTCTCCTTATACCTAGTCCCTGGCATTGCACCATAGTCACTCAATCAAAATTTGGGGGGTGGTGGTTGAAAGTAAAATATATAGTGTTTGGTGAAAATAAAATTTTAAATGACTCCAAAGAAATTTATTTTTTTTATTTTTAGAGCTTTTATTTTTAAGTAATCTCTATACCCACCGTGGGGCTCGGACTCACAACGCTGAGATCAAGAGTTGCACACTCTGCTGACTGAACCATCCAGGCGATGCAAGAACGTTAAATAAGGTTCAGTAACCTTGTCTTCTTATTTGATTTCACCTTAAAATATTATGATTTAGTTTTAATACCTGAATAATTAGTGTATAATTGGAAATAGAAAGTCACCAAGATTTCAATTGGCTTTCTAGATTTGTGGAAATTCTCCTAGCCATTTTTCACTCAATTCTCTGAGTTTACATTTTTTGTCATATTTATATAGGATCCCTACGATAATCTAAATTTGAAACAGAGGATTTTGGTATGACTAATGGGAAGTAAGGGAGAGACAAAACAATGCACACAGAATTGTTTGGGTTGACTTAAGAAAACAAAGTAACAGTGTTGTATATTAGATATCCAGAATTATTCGCCTTGCATAACTGAAATTTACATCTTTTGACCAGTATCTCATTACGTCATTCTCCTCCCCACACCCCCTGCAACCCCTGGAAACCACTAGTGTGCTTTCTGTTTCTATGAGTTTGACTATTTTAGATTCCATATATAAGTGAGATCGTGCAGTATTTATCTTCCAGTGTCGGGCTTATTTCACTCAGCGTAATGTCCTCCTGGTTCATCCGTGCTGTTGCGTGAGTAGGGTTTCATCTTTAAGGCTGAACATTTCATTATGTATCTCTATTCCTATCTATCTATACATCTCTCATCTTTCTTTCTATCCCATGTTTTCGTATCCATTTAGCCCTCCATGAAATTTCATTATTTCCTTATCTAGGCGAGTGTGAATAGTGCTGTAGTGAACATGGGAGCGTTAACTATCTCTTTGAAACCCCTATTTCAGTACTTTTAGATAAATACCCAGAATTGGGACTGCTGGCTGATATGGTAGTTCATTTCTAAGTTTGGGGGGACCTTCATACTGTTTTCCATCACGCTATGCCAGTTAAATCCCCACCAGGGCTCACTTTGCTCCACATCCTTGCCCACACCTGTAGCTTTTGTCCTTTTGATAAAAGCCGTTCTAACAGATATGAGGTGATACCTTGTGGCTTTGCTTTGAATTTCCCTGATGATTAATCTTGGTAAACATCTTTTCATAAACTTGTTGGACATTTGCGTGTCTTCTTTGAGCTATGTCTGTTTAGGTCCCTGGCTTATTTTTTTAAAAAAGTACTTTTATCTTGTTTTTGCTATCAAGTTGTAGGAGTTCCCTATGTATTTTGGAAGTTCATCCCTTATCGGATACATGGTTTGCAAATGTTTTGTCCCTTTCTTTAGACTGCCTTTTCACTGTGATCACTGTTTCCTTTGCTGCGCAGAAGCTTTTTAGTCTGACGAAATCCCAGTTTCCTATTTTTGCTTTTGTGGCCTGTGCTTTTGGTGTCTTATGAAAAAAATCATTGCCTAGACCAACTTCAGGAAGCTTTCCCCCTGTGTTTTCTACTTGTAGTCATATAGCTTCAGCTGTTAGGTTTAAGTGTTTTATCCATTTGAATTGTTTTCTTTTTTTGTATATAAGTGTTTAGTTTCATTCTTCTGGATGTGGATATTCAGTTTTCCCAGCACTATTAACTGAAGAGACTCTGCTTTTTCCATTGTGTTTTATTGGCACATTTGTCAAAGATCAGTTGAGTGTAGATATGTGGGTTATTTATGGGTTATGTATTCTGTTCCATCGGTCTATTTTTATGCCCTCGCCATACTCTTTTGATTACTATAGCTTTATAATATATTTTGAAATCAGGTATTGTAATGCTTCCAGCTTTGTTCTTGTTGCTGAAGATTTCTTTGGCTATTTGGGGTCTTTTGTGGTTGCATGTGATTTTAGAATTTTTCCTATTTTTCTAAAAAACACCATTGGGATTTTGATAGAGATTACATCGAAGATGATCACATTCTGGGGATCTACTTACTATACAACACTGTGACTATAGTTAATATTATATACTTGAACTTTGCTAAGACAGTAGATATCAAGTGTTCTCACCTTAACAAGAAACAAAGAAGATGGCAACTATGTGAGGTGATGTTAATTAGCTTGATTGTGGTGATTATTTTGTAATGTACAGGTATGTTAAATCATTGAGTTGTACACCTTCCATAAATACAGTTGTCAATTATATCTCAGTAAAGCTAGGGAAAAAACACAATGTGGCACTAAGTGATGAGCTGTCCCCGGAAGGAGAATTTTAACGCTGTGAAGAGCATAATTAATTAAAGGACTTTGTAACTTGCTCTTGACCCACATTTTAAGCTTCAGAGAGTTGTAAACCAGGACTAGAAATCTCTAAGGAATCAAGAGGAAGAGACAAAAGCTTGTCTTATAAATAGAACAGGGGTAATGAAAAATTAATTTAGGAGTTTAAAAGGCATCTGTTGTAGTGACTGATCAGAAGTGGTCCACTATTTCCTTCATGTCCTTGCATTTATCTCTGTGTTCTGAGCAAGAATGAAGCTGTTCTTCCCTTATCCTGCATCACACCCATCATGGATGGAAACTGATGTGGAAGGAAGTAGAGGATGGAAATTAGGGGCCCATCAGAAACCAGTCATGATATGAGTCTGGTACCCGACAGTGTGTACTCATTTGCAAAGATTCTATACAGGATAGGATATGTCCTGTAACATTAATATTATTATCATTTTCCTAAACCAAGACACACTTTGTTGTGTGAGTTTCAATGTTCATTCTCTGTCTGTAAGTACAGGGTATTGAAGTGGTCCTGTTTGTTTTTCATCTGCCTGGTGTATGTTCCTCTTCTCATAAAGCCACCCTAGTGTCCCACTGAGTATCTGTCCTTCCCTGGACACGTGTGTAACATTTGCTGGTCCAATTTCATACACACACGGAAATTTAAATCTGCAATAGAAATTACAGCCAGGAATGGGATTTCCCAGTTGCTAAGTCCTATCTGTATTCTCAGAATACCCTAATTCTTCATCTTTTCTGAGGCAAAATAATTTATTTGAATCAGTGAGATACCAAGTACAGACAGAGCTGGAGCCTCAAGGTTGTGGTATTAATCTCTCACTGCTAGGAAGAGCCACCTAATGAAGTGAGGCATGGCTTGGAAAGGTTTGGGGGCTGATGCAGATGTGTTCAGGCAGATTTATTTTAGTGGCCTTGTAATGTTCCTTATGGCAATAGTGCTCTTACCCCAATTAATACATGATCTATCACGGAAGCAAATGCTTCTTAGTATAGTTTCCACTACAAGATTGGATCCGGTTACTGTTGCTCCACAGTAGAGTGAATTCAGTGAAATAAACTGGGTTTTGGCTGCTAAACTACTCTTCTCTTCTCTTCATTCATTGCCATTCAATAAACATTTTCAGAGTTTATACTATACAGAACACACTGTGCTGTGGGCTAAGAGGGCTTCTTTCTAGGACATTTTTATGTGACTGAAGTGATCAGTTTTGCTAGAGAAAAATTTAAGAGACTGGGAATAAATGTCATTTCAGAGAGGTGGAGATCCATGAAGTTTTTAAAGACTTTTAAGAAATTGTGGGCCTACAAAATAATTGTCTTTGTCAACAGCTCCTAAATAGAGTCTAGGGGCGCCTGGGGGGCTCAGTTGGTTAAGTGTTGGCCTCTTGGTTTTGGCTCTTGTCATCATTTCAGGGTTGTGAGATGGAGTTCCCCTCCCCCCCCACAGGGCTCCGCACTCAGCGGGGAGTCTGCTTGTCCCTCTCCTTCTCCCTCTGTCCCTCCCCCTGCTTGCCTGCAGGCATGCACTCTCTCGAATAAATAAGCAAAATCTTAAAAACCCATATATATAAAATCTAGTATTTCACCTCAGAAGATAACTGACCTGAATTCTTCTAAAATCCATTTACGCCTTTTCCCCCATCTTTGCAACCATGGAATAGCCCATTCCTATGATAATCCTTCTTGTAGTTAATAGAGTTCATGAAAAATCCTTCCTGTAGTTAAGGAAGCTATGAAGTCACTTCAGCCTTTTTCTTCTTCTTCAGGCAAAGTAATCCAATTATGCCAACCTTTTTACCATAATTAAATGAAAGGGTGCTGCAGAAGACTTTAAATCACATCCCTGAATATCCCCGATCCAACCAGGTGCCCAGCAAGAACTGTGGTTAGTGGCCCAGGAAAGCTAAAGAGGTTTCATGTTCTGTGCTGTAAGCCTCCGTCTGGCACAGACTTGGAGGAAACAAACAAAAACCCCATTCCAGCCACTGCCTTTCAGTGGGGCTTCACCCATGAGAGAATGACCTGAAACAGGTATGATTCATGCCCCACTGATGAAAAAAATCCTGAACACAGGCTACTCAGTGTGTTTGCAACAATGTCCTAGAGAATCAGCTTCTGGATCTAGCACATTTGAATCTGAGGCCCGCCTTGTGTGTGGGTAGAACAACCTTAGAATTAGCAGGTTAAGAGATCTCATCTGTGCCTTGCTATCCTGTATCTTCTGTCTTCTGCCGGGGTTAAGAGAGGGGGTGGTGGCCCCATGGCTGTATGACCTTACCACCTTGCCATGAGTCAAGGTATGTGCCTGCCATTGGTATCTCTTTAGCTATAACTGGTCTACAATTTTTTTAACAGACTCAGATATTACCTTTAAAACAGCTGATAGATTTTAACATATTCTTTACATATTTTAGATAAAATATACGTTCCAAATAACTTCATGTTCGTATGCTCTCTTTCACCCCCTCCCCCCCCTTTTTTTTTACTTCTGACTGCTATCTAAACCTTAAAATAAGGAAGAAGGAAATTACTCTGGTGGTCCCACACTCCGCCCTCCTCCTAAACTGAACAGGGAGCTGACCTGAAATTTGAATCTGGAGCTATGTGACTTCTCAGTTTCAGTTCCTTCTGGTGCTACTGTCTTAATACTGGGATGTCCTGAGGGCCAAGACTGGAATGAAGCAAGAGAGATGCCCAGGGTACATGCAACATTTAAGGAGGCACCAACTTACAGAGTTTACTGGCCTCCTAGCCGGGCCCTCCTGACTTTTTCCTGGTGAGGTATGAAGTAGGCGTACAGATGTACTAGAATGTGGTTGGAGGGGGGCATCACATGTTAGCTGTAGTCCTGGAGCAGTCTGACTCACATACCCATGGAATAAGAATTCTGTGGGTCCAGGAGAGGGACCCTGGGAATCAGCTGTCTGTGGATAAATCAAGAT